TATCTGCGTTGCTAAATAAACTCTGATTAGAAATACCGAATGATTACTTAAATCATGCAAAGCCTTCGGATCATCCGTCGATCCGTCAGTAAATGCGACGTGTACATTCTTACTTGTAAATATTTCTTGCTCCAGAATGTATCATTACTCTTTTCATGCATGGATGGCAGTGCTTAACTACCGCAGTGAAAAAGTTGTGGCTTCAAAACTGTCAGTGGTAAATAGCAACACGCTAAAATCCTCTATCCACATGCCACAATTCTATTTTATTCATTTCGGCAGTAGCATTCTGATGCACTGATTTTGCCTAATCCCACATCTGGGACATGTTTTGTGCATCACCTTCACCGTCTCCGCAATGCACATTTTTGCACCGCAATTGAAAAGATTACTACGGGCGTATCTGCTATTACTTTCGATGGTTTGTTTCAGTTCCTCTTAGTTGACCGCGAGATTTCAACTCCTCCTCCAATATGCCTACACCTTCCGAACCCATCAGTGCTCAATTAGATTAACTTTGCCACCGAACACGTATACAACTACCACAATCATCTCATTACTTTCAAGCCTTGTAGTTAAACATTCCACAATTCCATTACATTCTTGACCGCATATCCGTTCGTCCGTTCGTCCGTCCGTCCGTCAGTCTATCTGCCTGTCTGTCTCTGTCACGGACATTTTCATTGAAGCAAGTGCAAATTCATTCTAGTCACCACGCCCCACATCTTGTCTGCCACGTTGCAGACAGTGTGGGTGGTTCAACCTCACCGCCTCTCTGGTGCGTGATAGCGCTGTCTTAATGCACGAAATCATACACGCATAGCAGTGTACCTGCCGATGAAGAAGAGGATTTCATGCATTCACTCAATGTTGGGCGACCACCTCCTCATTTCGCATTTGGGTGCAAAGATGCATTACGGCACGTCCAGTCATAATGTTAAATGAATCCTCCTCCTACTACAACAGATTAATCGGCAATGGTGAAACGCTCCTATGCTCACACAACTCTCCGTTTGTCTCACTTTATACACCTTGGTTAGCAAAGTAGGCACTTGCTCAGCCCACCTGAGTGAAATAGATACACTTAGGTTATCAAATCACGTCGGGCCATTCTTTCATACCAGTGGAAGACTGGAGCATCGTTTGCTCTACTCAATAGTGCCAATGAATCTCATTTTGAGTTAGAATAACTTGAGTGGCGTATGCGAGGTTCTCAACAGAATTGCCAGTTAACCAGATAAACGGAAACCAATTCACCGGTTGTGGTAGGAACTTTGCCTGAATTGCTAGAAGAATAGCGAATCCGTTTATTTCGTATCTGGAAGTTAGTAATGGCTTGAAACTCTTCCTAGACATTTGTTTGGCTAGATCAATTCATAGGCAAATAAGATGTGAAATCGGACCTGGATTATGTAGTTTGCCTGGCCTCAATTATGTTGGAATGAATTTCAATACATTCGGCGGCTCTCTTCTCCACACCGGCATCCATAGCCATGGAATGGACGCCTCGATTGGAAAAGATCATCCTTCAGTTGATGTGTTTTCACTGTGTTCAGCGACTCTACCTGACGGGCAGTCGAAGCCCACTTCCTCCTCAATGTATTATTATTTCGACCAATTGTAAAATAGAGACACAATCCGTGTAACACAAATTATTTGGTGTGGAGCAATAAATATTCCTTCCCGCTTGTGATCAGTCTCGGCAGAGGGGTATTTGACTTCCAGTGCTGTGCTGTGCTGTTTTAGCTGCATTTTACAACGATTCCTTGCACGGACAAAACTGCAAATTCACGAGAATCAAATGGGGGCACATCACTCGATTCGTATATGCAAGTTAGAAAAAAGCCCGCTCTGTTTTAATTTCGCAACATTTCATTTTTCACGGCGTCATGTATTTTGTACTATTTACTTCCTTTGGGTTGAATTAGGGTACTCCTTGGCAAATTGTGAAATGTGAACCTACATTAGGCTTCAATATTCGTGTGCACCCTCTTCGAACGCAGACTGGCCTTGCCTCTCGACTGGACACAAAAGCCTTGGAATCTCCTCAATAGCTTTCTACATTTCAATATCATCGTCCCTATCTCCTACCACAACTCGTAGTCCGAAATCATGCTGCCTCTGAATTCACTGATTATGATACGTGTGTGAATGCCTGCTTATAATTGAGCGGCGGGGAGCAAAATAGAAGCTACGGTGTTTTTATTTTGTGAATGGGCAAAGTGCAGTTAGTACTCGCCTAGTAGTGAGATTTCTGCCTTAGCAATTCTGTGCGACACCGCTGTGGGAAACAGATGTCCTTCGGAAGCAAGTGTTGGTGTGTAAGTTAAAAGGGAAGCTGAGTAACGGTGGAGTTGGTGTGTCAGAAATTGGATTCGTTCAAGTTCACTTACCAGAGGTTCTACTAATTTGCAGTTAGGGTTGGTATGTTTTATTTGGAGGTATGTGCCAATAAAATGGAGGTAGGTGGCAATTTTACTGAGAAAAGTACGATTTGGGGATTTTGCCCTTGCTCTTCGTGGGGATGGATGCAAGTTAAGACAGGCATGTGGAAGTAGTCAAAACCACTGCAAATTTATCATAACGAGGTAGGTGAGAGGTTTTATCTGAACTTTACTTATTCTACTACATTAGACTTAGGTTTGACTGGAGGGAATGTGTTCCAGACTACTAAGTCGATAAAGCGGTAGAAGTGAGCATTTTGAGGTGTGTGGCTTCAGTGGGTTCCAAACCACCAAAAGCACTACGAAAACAAAGGTCTCGTATGACGATGCATTAGTGAGAGGATCGCAATGAAAGTGCGAATTTTGGGGCTTATCAAGCGCAATGAAATAAACGGCTATTATGCACTGGGTGGTGAAATGGGTTCATAAGGGCAACCAAATAGACTGAGCACTGAGACAGGGCGGATGCTTTTCAACACGCCTACTCGAGGGATTGCTAGTTGTGCTGCAATGGTTCACTGAGAGACTTGAACGCCGTTGGGTCATGGCTTATACTAGGAGACAATTGTGAGAATGTGGAGGTCTGGCGCCAGATTGTTCTTCATGGGCTGGTAGAGTGGGATCTTACGAAAATGGCATAAATGACCATGTCCATCGGCAACGCAGTAAAATGTGCTTCACCTGGGAAAGGAAAGCAAGGGGGCTGAATAGTTGACAGCGGAGGACAGGAAATGTGTAATGCTACAGGATTAGGAAAGAAAGTTACTAATTTGCCCATGAAATATTTGCATTTACGTGATCGAACCGACCTCTCGGTTCTACATCGTTTACCATGCACGCACGAGTGTGTTGCCTGGCTGTACACACTGGAAGACGCAAACTGGTCACTTAAGTGCATCCATTCCACTAAGACGGGCTGATCTAATGCCTGCTTTTCACATTCTATTCCACGGAGATGCATTGATACGTCAACGGCATACAACCGACGACGATGATATCTCAATTGCGCATGAAAGGAATGGAAAGGGGTGGATGTTAGGGTGAAGACGAAATGTTCCTGTTGATGAAGGATAAAGAGAGAGAGAGAGAGAGA